GTGTTGAACCGGCCCCGTGCCGATCCGCCCATGGACCCTGAGATGCCTCTGGAGGTACCGTGTGCGTTGGGGTCGTTGTTGGCAGGGTGGGTGGGAGGGATGTGTTGTCATGTGTTTTCTTCATGTGCTGTGCGGTGAGTGTGATTGTGGCATTTGTTTCTTCTCTCTCTATCTCTCTAGCCCCTCTCTCTCTCTCCCTCTCTCTTTTTTTCCTCTCTCTCCGTCTCTCCGTCTCTCCGTCTCTCCGTCTCTCCGTCTCTCCGTCTCTCCGTCTCTCCGTCTCTCCGTCTCTCCGTCTCTCCGTCTCTCCGTCTCTCCGTCTCTCCGTCTCTCCGTCTCTCCGTCTCTCCGTCTCTCCGTCTCTCCGTCTCTCCGTCTCTCCGTCTCTCCGTCTCTCCGTCTCTCCGTCTCTCCGTCTCTCCGTCTCTCCGTCTCTCCGTCTCTCCGTCTCTCCGTCTCTCCGTCTCTCTCTCTCGTCTCTCTCTCTCTCTCTCTCCGTCTCTCCGTGTCTCTCTCTCTCTCTCTCTCTCTCTCTCCGTCTCTCTCTCTCTCTCTCTCTCTCTTTCTTGTCAAACTACATGCTTCACCTTTGCACTTGTGTTGCATGTATGTTCACTACCGCAGGCCTTGAGCTTACTACTCCGCATGACTGAAAAGGTTGGCAGCTGCAGACTACATCGGTTGACTGTTTGTTTGAACACTGCAGCGCTTGCACTTGTAAGAAAAGTATCAGCACAACAAACTACAGGAGCAGAGAACGGGCCAACAGCAGACACAGTAGGAGCCACAACTACGGGAGCAGGAACAGAACAAGACAACGACGTTCAGAGACTACATAGATACAAACTGCCACCACCCTTCTTCACTGGTGACTACTCCCAGTATGAAGAATGGCTGTTCAAGCTACAAGCATACCTCGGCCTCATAGACCGAGACTTCGACCTGGTGCTACAACTAGCACAAGTGGCTACACGACAGATTGAGGACACAGACATCAGAACACACATACTCGACCCTACACAAGCAAGCAAAGCAGCAGACCTCTCCAGAGATCTACACTACATCCTCATCAACATCTGTCAGGGAGCAGCAGCTACAGTAGTAAGGCAAAACCGCTACAACGCAAACGGATGTGAAACACTACGACTCCTACACAACCGGTTCAGCCTACCAGTAGGAACAAGAAGCGTTGGCTACCTTACCAAACTACTGGAACCTACATTCAACGAAGCGCAGTTTGAAGAACAATTTCTATAATGAGAATTCGACATCAACCGCTACACAGCACTACCAGATGGAATCAAAATAGCAATACTACTCAACAAAACCAAAGGAGCACTGCAGCAACATCTCCAACTGCGAGCTGGACAGGTCACGAACTACATTTCAGCCTTCACGAGATCGACTTCAGCAGTAGGAACAAACTACAATGGAGGAGCTGCACCAATGGATGTTGACAACATATGGAGGAAAGGAAGAAACTACAAAGGCAAAGGAAAAGGAAAAGGCAAGCAAAAGGGAAGCAAAAGCAAAGGCAAGTACAGGAGTAAAGGACACTACAAAGGATTCGACAAAGGCAACAAAGGAAACTACAACAAAGGAGGATACAACAAGAGCAAATGAAAAGGCTACTCAGGATCCAAAGGATATGGACCAAGCAAAGGCTACGAAGGCCAAGGAAACTACAGCAAATCAAAAGGAAAAGGAAACAACAACTACACAACATGCCATCGATGTGGCAAGCCTGGCCACTGGGCGCAAGACTGCAGAGTGCCAGTATGGCACATAGGAGAAGGAGAAGAACTACATCCACTAGAGCAAGAACAAGCAGATCATGACAACAGTGAAGAACTACCTCAAGATGTGAACGACACCTGGGACTGGTACTACGAAGGAGAAGAAGGACAACACGAGGTGAACTACATGGAGGAGAACTGGAACGACTACGACTATGACAGCAGCTGGGATTGGAATGACAACAGCTATGAGGACACAGCAAACTACATTGGAGGCATCAACGAGTCGCACCTCACCACTGGACACATCAGACAAGCAAAGTCACGACTACACAAGCACAAATCCAAATCACTACTCAGCAAGAGAACAACACACACAACATCATGGAACGACCACAGCGAGAGCTTTCAACAATTTCTACAAGAAGACACCACACAGCGCTACACTTCGACATAGCAGCAGCAAGACAACAACAAAGGAACAAGAAGATTGAGGACACCATCACACACTACATCATGTACTCCAACTTCAAGTCATACCACCACCTGTTGATCGACTCAGGAGCATCTACACATGTTTGCCCGAAGGACTACGCACCAGACCTACCGCTACGACCTTGTGGAGAATCAGTTCCACAACTCTACACGGTTACCAACAAGAAGATTCCTGTCTACGGCATCAAGTACGTTCCCTACAAGCAGGACAACTTCAGGATCATGATACCCTACTACGTTTGTGATGTGAAGTATCCAATCCTCAGTGCATCAAGACTACTTGATAGAGGATATGGACTTGACTTCACTCCACGACACTGCGCCATTACACATGGACAACAACAAGCACACCTCATAAGACACTCAGACTTGCTGTGATTCAACCTACAGAGAAAGCAGAACAACAACAAGAACAAATCGCACCACTCACCCACACAGACCAAGAACTACGACAGATCCTTGGTGGAAACACTGACTACTGGACACTTGATGGTGACTACGCCATCAGAGTACACAAACGACCACGCAAAGCATTGTTCACACCACACAACAGTGGTTGACCAATACCAGAAGGAGAACTAGATGATTGGCGACTAACCATCATCAACAGACAAGGGCAAGAGCAAGAACAACTACAAGAGAACCCAACACAACTTTCCAAGCAAGAACTACAACGAAGACTAGAAGGTGACAACTGGACTGGAGAAACCAGATTCAGAAGAACGATAACACCTACACGCAGAGCAACATCAAAGACCACACCAGCAAGACAGAGCTCACAACCACAACGGCTAATGGACACACCACCAACCAGATCAAAGATCCAACTACGAGCACCGCAAAAGATATGGAGACCTAAAGCAGCACCTTCTACAAATCTTGACACCGCGCAACCAAAGGAGACAATCCACAGACCACTCACAGCACAGGAGGACAACCAAGACTACTGGGAAAGACAAGGTGAACACTGGATAAGACACCACACAACACTTGGAACAACTCTCTTCACTCCAACAGATGGATCAGGACATCCACCAATCAGCACACTTGAGCCTCACAGAACTACAATCACTCACAACAACTTTGGAGAAGCTTCACAACGCGAAGATGACTGGACAGTCATGGGCAACGCAGCACTACCATTTCAATGGAAAGGAACAACAAGGTTCACCGTGAAGAAAGACTACGAGTACATCCAGGAGAGCCACGATGAGGAACAACAGCACGAGCATCATGAAGCACACAGAGCAAGAGGACTACGACAACCGCAGCAGCCCACTCCACAGCAAATAGCAGAACACAATCTTACACACCTACCATACAGAAACTGGTGTCCAATTTGCGTTCAAGGCAAAGGACGCCAAGACAACTACAAGGAACAACAATCACGACAACCCGTCATTCAAGTAGACTTCGCCTACATCAAATCACAACAAGACCCAAAGACCACACCAGTACTGACAGCAGTTGATGTTACTACACAACTGTGTATGCAGTAATGGTCCCGGACAAACCATCAATGATGGACTACATGGTCAACAATCTACAAGCATTCATCTTTGAGTGCGGAAGAACACAAGGCGTACTGCAAAGCGACAACGAAGACACACTCAACGCACTTCTAAAAGCTACAGCAGCAAAAGTCGGCTCAATGACTGTTAGGCATGCACCCTCCTACAGCAACAACAGTCAAGGAAGTGTTGAGCGACTAGACCGAACACTCCTCGGACAGGCGCGCGTCGTCAAAGCGCAGGTTGAAAGCAACTACAGCATGACGATGTCCACAAAGCACTGTCTACTACCTTGGATAGTACGACACGCAGCATGGACGGTAAATCGCTACGTCATCCACTCAGACGGCTACACGAGCTTTGAACGCCGCTGGGGAAGAAACTACGAGCGAGCAATCTGCGAATTTGGCGAGACACTACTTTACCTTCCACCACAACACAAGAAACTTCCAAAAGCAGACCTACGGATGCAGAAATGCATCTGGCTCGGAAAAGTTTCCGAAACCGGAGAAAACTATGTCGCAACGGAATCAGGTGTACAAAAGGTACGAACAGTACGGCACCCCATGGGCACCACGACGGAACACCTACAACTCATCGTTCGCAACACTGTTGGATACGCAACTACAACCGTCAGAGAAAAGGAGGTCCACGCAAGACTTCGGACAACAGACGAACGCGACGGACGACATCGTTGCGGAACCCGCAACAAAACAACAACGCACTACACCACCTCCACGACTTCCATCTACATCGACGTCAAGTTCACGACCACTACGGGATAGTCCTATGGCTACTTCACCAACTGGACGACAACATCCACCACTACCAGCACCACCTCGACAAACACTAAGACGTTTAACTCCGGAAGAAGTAATGCAACCAACTAAAGCACAGAAGACGTCAAAGGACACTACAATCAGATCAACGGAGCAAGCAACCAAAGAATCACCACCACTGCGACAGAAAATCAACGCAGTGACACTTCCCAACGGAAAATCCATCACTCCCTACACAAAGGACGACACCTCAGAAGACCAACCCAGAATAATCTTCGACAACGAAGGTCACGACGAAACACAGCTACTGGAAGGAATGAAACACGAGTCAAACCAAATGAAGCTACATGACGTCTACGACGAAGTAGATGCGTCTACCGTCGACGACAACGTCATCAGAGAAGCGATGCCTACAAGATGGGTACACAGAAGGAAAGGGCCAGGAGTACGAAGCCGAATCGTCGCAAAAGGCTACACAGAGAAGATCGAGGACGAAGACTCCGTCTACGCCTCTACACCAATGTTCACGACAC